GCCACTTTCTCATTACTTTCATATATTGTTTTAGTAAGTATCCAAAACATACAAGTTTCATTATATAATTTTTCAAGGGATCTTATATCTGTTTTTACTCTTGTATGCTTTTCATACAAGTTTCACACAAGACAGATACAAACTTTATAAGATTTATATATATCTTTTCCATATGGGTTATCTTACTATGCAGTGAAAGTCTTAAGATTTAGAGTTGTTCAGTTATCAGTTCTGCTTGCCTCTAATGTCACAACTCACTAATACACTGATTTGTTTTGAACTTTCAGCGACTGTTTAATGCCTCAGGCAAACAATCTCATGCTGCTTTGTTAAAATCTGCTATGAGCTGCATTAAAGTAACCAAAGTGAAGCGAAGGCTGTAATCTAACCCTGTTTGCATTGGCTATGTGCTCATTTTGACTGTATTGCCAAACCACTGTATAGTATAGTCTCATGAATTTATTTGACTTGAATGATGATAATAAAAGCAAGAGTTAAAGCGGATCATCTCTGTAGCAGGAAAAGAAAATGTGAGTTGACAGAAGGGTTAGCAAGATTATGTTTCATTTTACTGTTGAGACTGGCTGCACCCTCCCGTTTTTAACTCCAGACTTGGCAGTGAAATTATATTTTAGTCCATGTTTAAACAGCCCGGAGTAGCCTTAGTACATACAATACAATACAATACAATTCTATTTATATAGCACATTTAAAAAACCACAGGTATGCCAAAGTGCTTCACAGAATGAGTTAAGAGCAATAATAAATACAAATATAAAGCACAAAATACAAATAAAATATACCAACAGGCGGGTGACATAACCAACCAATAATACACCAGGCATAGTAGGTACTAATGAAGTCCACACACAATGCTGAAGGTTAAAACATTATAAACATTAACAAAGTGATAAAGATAAGTTCCAGTACACTAAAAATGTGGGCTCTAGGAGGCGGGGAAAGCAAGGCTATACAAATAAGTTTTTAATCGAGATTTAATTGACGCCTGAATAGCTAGGGGGAGGTTATTCCAGAGGTAGGGTGCAACAGCGGCGAATACGATGTGTTTTCTTGTCTATCTCGAGGATCCACATCAACAGCCTCGTTGTGTAAGTGTTGTCAGATATACATATATAGTACCACAGTCCTCTCTTTCTGACTTCTTCATGTCTTTCCTTGAGCTAAGTTAAGTTGATTAGCAAAAGATGTGGAAGTTTTGTTTGACTTGGCCAGGTTTGGTTGCATTAGCTTTGGCATTTCTTAT